TCACTTTGATTCAAGCGTTGCCCGTCATTAACCTGCACCTAACAGCCACCTTAGGTGGTGGTAATTCTGAATGGGGCATCCTCAGGTTTTCTGAGGGTCGCGCAATTGGACGCATAGGTTTCCAGGGCTGCACAGGTTTCGAGGTAGCACCATGTTGTTCGCTAGTTTGCCTTGGATCGCACAATTGCGCTCGTAGATGCTCAGTGAATAGCCTATAGTAAGCAAGGATCTGCGAGTCTCTTTGCCATTGTGCAGCTACAGCGGCATATACCTTCTTTAATCTGCCTAAAACCGCTTCAAGATACGATCGCGGGAGAGTAGCATCAATGCTTGCTCGGATATTTTGTTTCCTGTGACACGGTACTAACTTCTCCTATTCGCGGATGGTACCATCCAACTCTTCAAGGCGCTCACCCTAGTCGCCCCAAATTGGGATGAAACCACGGAGATGGCCTTCCGAGAGATGTTCATTCCTCCAGTAATCGGTTTGGCAACACTTCAACAACAAACTCCAAGACTGGAATCCCATGTTGTAGACGGATCGCACACTGTATTCCACATCGTACATGGATCACACAACCTCAGCTGTTTATCTTTCCTTTCTCGATCCTGGTTTTTGATGCGTGGCGAACTCAGAATACAGGAAGCAATCCGGTGGTAAAAACAACTGACTCCCCTACGTCTGTAACGGGATCAAAAATTCGACCCCTCTGCAACTGCAACCCCATCTGCAGCGGAATTGCGCTTGCTGATTTTGGGATCACGCAATTATGCTCGCTAGTTTCGGGATCGCGCAATTGTGCATAGTTTCTAGGGCCATTTTGCTTGCTGATTTCAGGATAATGTTATGCTATTACCCTAGGGTCGTGCCTCCGCCTCGCTAGTTTTACGGTCGCGCATTAGCGCTCGCTTACCCCTAGATCTCGCCTTAGCGCTCGCTTGCTGCAGGCTCCCGCGATGGCAATTCCCTAGCCTCGGGGTCGCGCAATAGCGCTTGCTAACTCCTGTGCTCGTGCGATGGCAGCTCCCATTGTCTTCTTCGCCTTCTGCAGTGGAGGTGTTTTGTAGGGCCGTCCCGAGATGAGTGTCGTCCTACATGCCAGAGAATCGTAGTAAAATTATGCAAAAGCAAGCGGACGCATACCTCAATATTGAAATCATCTTGGGCAATGAGGTCATGTCTCCGCTAGGTGGAGAAGTTCCGTCGCAAACATTCTCCTTAGAGCACTCTCACCTTGCGACCTACCACCAGAGGAAGAGCTATCGCCAAAAGAGAAACTGTCGCTTGAAGACTCACTGTCCAGATAGCATGTCAAACGCATCGGTAAGATCATGTTACAGATCCAGAATTTCTGCGCCACTTCTAAATACAAATAGATGTCCCTACGCATTGTTATAGGTATGGCGTCAACAATGGCTTCGCGGATAAAGGCCCGGCCATCCCTGCGCACCCTTGCTATCAACAGGTTGCGATCTTGGTAGCTTTCCCAAGTGTTGGCCAGCTTGTTACGAAGTAGGGATGCATCCTCTGGGTCAGATGCATAGTCTTTAGAGACCTATGCCAGCCAATCACGCGCTCCAACATTCCCCACTGACCCTAACATACCCAAACCCCTAGTGGTCTGTCTTTGGAGATAATATTTCCAAGAATTGCACGAGGGATCATTGACCTCAATATATTCTTGTGGTTTGTCTCTGATGCTCACACCCAGCCTTCTGGCATGTGCCCTCTCCCTTGAACGACTCAATGGTATACATCTGTTCCTCAAAGTCAGTCTTCACCTTTAGTATCTCGGAATGCAGAGCGGCCGCTCCAGCAGTGATGCACTATAGCGTGCTACGCTTAAAATAATGATAACAATAAAATTCACTATTTGCCAACCATGACCAGAAAACACTGGACGGAGCAAACTCCACTATCGCCACATCTTGAGATCGGCGATGACCTATTTACGACCCTGTGTCTACTCTCGTGCCCAACAACAATGCTGTGTCAGGGATCGCGATCTCAACAACATCCTGTTTAGTCGCGGCTGGATTAGGGGGGCACCTGGGAAGCGTCGCTCCCGCCCCTGTTCCATTGCTCGCTCCCGACTTGCGACTGTCTAGGTGTCGATACTCTTTGCTTGTCAGAGGCTTTCCGTTTTCTTGATGCTTTCACCTTCTCCACGTTCGCGATCTTGGCCATGTTGTCCGAGGTGGCCGCTATTACATTGGATAATATATTCTTTATGTCCTCGCGGTCGCCGCATGCTATTCCTTCTTTATGTTCGCATCCCGGACCTCAAAGGATCGCCCATCGCCTTCGGTCCAGGAATCGGTTACTATGCTTGCATCCATACCATTAGGGGACGGCAAGCCTCTGGAGTCCACAAAGAAATAGTATCCCCTCCATTTCACACCACGTTTCTCAACAAAAATTAGGGAGTGCGATCCCGTCAACGGATTATGTTAGAAGCTAAACCACCTAGAGTAGTTGTGTTGTGAACGCATCATCTTAAAAAAGCATCGAAACAAGAAGCATCGTTAATTTCGGGATCGCACAATGTCGTTTGTTAGTTTTGGGGCAACGCCATGACGCTCACTGATTTGCCTTGGGGTCACGCAAACGTGATCGCTTACCCCAGGGTCGCCCAATGGCACTAGCGTTTTTCTTGGGGTCGCACATTGGCGATCGCTTATCCCAGGGACGCTTCACCCCGGCCCGATGACATACCCAAAGGAACCCCATAATAAATGGGATCGCATTTGGTGACCACTCCGCCAAGGGCATTTCATACGCCCGTATTAAGGCCGCCACAAAAGGAATAAGGAGAAGATTCAACCCAAGTTCCAATCGACGGAAACATACGGTCATTTTTCCGGGAGGGGTTATCTTCAGATCAGTGTACTGGATTTCGTGCCAATCTTGTGTTTGAGGATATGAGCTACCGCAGTCCCCAAAACTTACCAATGACCGTAGCACTCTTAAACTCTGAAAATTATCGTGTCACAATTGGGCCATGACTTGCCTTACATCGCCAACATTAGGGCTCCTCGCCTGAAGAGAGGGTTGGGCGCTATTGACTGCCTTTCCTCTTCTTGATTGAGTTTTTGCTCGTCGTAGATTTTCCTCCTCTCTATCTTGATGAATATCTTTGCTCAATCATTTATCATTGACCGCATCGATTGAAACGGCATTCACCAACGACGTCTGTTTGGTTTAAGCGCTGCTCGCTGGTCGCTTGTTGATCACCCCCTCAATGCATCAATCACTGATTGTTTGTCTTTGTTACCTTAGAACGAGCATCGCTCCTTGGTTGTTTATTGTTGATCGCCTTGGTGGAAGTATCGTTCTCCCAATGGCTTATTATTGAATGCTTGGGTGTGTCGCTTGCCGATGGCTTGTCTTTGTTTATCCGCCCTCAGCTTACCACTGAAAGCATCTGCTGGAGCATCGCTCACTGACGATGCGTCCTTATTTACGTTAATTGAGGTGTTGCTCGTCACTTACTTGTTCTTAGCAACTACCATAGGCGGAGGTAATTCCCACTGGTGCACCCTTAGGTTCCTTGAGCATCACACAATGCTGCTCGCTTGCTAGAGGATCGCGCAAAGGCACTCGCAGGTTCCGGGGTCGCGCCGGGCCACTCGTTGACTCCTGGGTCGCGCAAACGCTCTCCCTTACCCTACGGTCGCCCAATGACGCTCGCTTATTCCTGGGTTGCGCAAAGGTGATTGCTAGTTCCGGGGTAGCGCCATGCTGCTCGCTGATCTGCCTTGGATATATTGTCACTCTTCAATGGCCTATGCACCTTCTAGTATTGCGGCAACAAACTACTTATGCATCCGGAGGTAGGCGTCACTCGATACCTGAACCTTGAACACTGATAACCGACTTTCCTGATGTCTTGCATGGTCACAGTCTCGCCCACTAGGTGGACCCTCGAATGGACAGCTCTGCCGCAAGATTGGATGACAGGTCCATTTACACTTGTATGCCAAGTCTTGTATTCAAACTTAACAGCTGTGTGCATGTGTTTTCTACTAACACTTGGCAGGGGCAATTGATGGGGTATGAACCGTTGGTCATCGCTAACTTACCTCAACCGCTCGATGATGGGGCAACCTCCCACCAGCCCGAGGATTTAGACAAAGCGATCCCACGTCCACAAATCATGGAGGTCTAATTCACATCTTGTTACCAAAGCCCAAATCCGAACAATCTATTAGATTTGGTCTTTAGCAAGGGCAATTGATGGGGCAATTAGGCTATTGCCTCGTTGTGCCTTAGTCAAATTAGTCCAAGGATCCACTAGGATTTATGTGCACACATGTGCAAGGGAATATTCTTATATTTCTTTTTTCGGCCTATAAAAGGAAGCATCCCAAGGCATTTATTTCTTATATCATTCTTTCTCTACATAACACTTAATACTTTCCCTTTCTCTCTCTAATAGTTCTGACTTTGGCATCGAAGTGCTAATTTTGTTTTACAGGGTATTTTAGAAATTATAGGCGCTGTCCCGTGAATTGACCAAGGAATGCATCAACAGTATACAAGTTTGACAAAGAGCACAAAAATCTGAAACATGTGTATCAAGTAAGCCATCCAGAAAATTCACTCCACAATCCAGATAATCCACCAAAGCGGCTCAGACAATAACTGAAACACGATATCCCACATACATCTAGTTAATTAATTTCTTTTGGACGCTTACCTCTTTTATTGTAATAAAAAGAATAATCCACTCCATTATTTTCACTTTGTTTTTGGATTACAAATCGAAGATATGGAAATGGTCGGAATATTCGACTACTTCGTTGCCCGTTTGAGTTGATTGTTCACTCCTGATCCAGACCATGGGGAAACATATACTAGAAGGAGACATGCACGGTTGCATGACTTATGAACAGAGGGCTGAATATCATCGGGGTTAGTTTTTAGTATTAGTAATTGAGCTCGCCCTAATCAAGATAAAAAGTTGAGAGAAAAAATTGTGGAAACTCAAGGATAATGACTGGTAAACAAAAGCAAATGACTGATCGTGTCGTGTTTAATCCTCGTTTAAGGACTGAGACAGGAGATGAATAGTACAACAAAGTGAACTGTAGATCTGGATAGATCAGTTTGATCAGGAATCGAATAAAGAGTTTGTTATTTAACCTTATTTTCCCTCCATATAACTTACATATAATGATGATCAACTTGATGCTGATTAGAGTAATAAGAGCTACCCAACGATACCGGAAAACCATTCCGGTGACCGCTTGGGGGACCAAAGCTCAACGTGATTGGACCTTTTCCGTTTCTACAGGATCCCATATTTGAGCTTTGGCAGCCGGTATACTTCTGCACAAGTTTTGAGAAATCCTTTATGCTTGCGTTCAGTAGCGTCGCCGGAGTTCGCCGAGAAGCCCTCGACCTCTTTTTCACTTGTTTTGCTATGCCAGCCTTCGGGCTCAAATCCACCACATTATTATTATGACTCGCCGCCGCCGTAGGTGTTGCCGCCATGGTGGTTGTGTTGCTTGAGGAAGTGGCCGTGGACTCCATAAGATCGCCAAGGAGAAACATGGTTGAATCAGAGGCGCCGCCACCGGGAGTACACACGATATCGTCGGAGCCTGGATTCATAGCGTCGTCTCCGAAGAAGTTATCGTCAGAAACAGCTGGCCCGGCGAAGGGGGCGTCCAAGTAGTTGATATCGGTGAATTGTTGCGGATATAAACAATCTAGCCATTCCTTTGGGATCGGAGGTACGAGCCCTTCCTCAGCAGTGGAAATAGTACCCATGATGATGACGATGAAATGAGGGATTTTCTTAATTTGGGTTTTTTATTTGGTCGGGTGATCATATGATATAGCTGGGGAAATGAAACTGGGATACAACCTTAAATTTATATAGTTGTTTGGAAAGACAAGATATTCCTGGTCAGAGTCGTCATGCAGTCTGATATGATATTTGGATTTTTGTTTTTTTTTTTTATAAATACTTTATTTGTCCAAAATAATTTATCTAGTTTGATTTTATTTTTTTACAAATCGTACTAAACTCATATTGGAACGAGTAATATTATTGTTAGATTTCTAACATAAGATTAATCAGGATTAATTTGGATAATAATTTTCAAACCCTAATAACATATAATATACAAAAATAGAAGTATAAAAAATAAATTCAAACATACAAATTTATAAATTGTGGTTGTTGATACGTATTCAGAATTGACCAGTAAATTTGAGAATGACTGGCGATTGTGATTAGAGCATTGATCACTGGCTATCTACTAATTAAGGTCTCGCATGTGGTGTGACTTAGCTTCCTGGAAGTAACGCACATTTTTCCACGAAGACAGTTTGACGAGGAAAAGGGGCTGAGTTAATCATCATCAAGTGAATAAACAAATAAAAACTTTGTGAAAAAAGGAGATTTCCTTTTTACTCCCTCCGGTCCTTAATACAAGACATTTTAATTTGTCTGACGTTTTTTAGTACTCATTTTTAATTGACAAAAAAATCTTACAAATATTTCATAATATTCAAGAGAACACAACGAATTTGAAAATATATTTTTAAGATTTTTTGTAAATTATAAATGTGTTTTTAATTAAATTTTTTAAAAAAATTAAAATGCATTATACTAAGGATCGAAAGGAGTATTATATATATATATATATATATATATATATATTACATTACGGATTTTGTTTTTATAATATGTCAATATCGCTATCATTACTCATTACTATACGTATATGCCATGTTAAAACTTTCACAATTAACATAGATTTCACAACCTAATGGGTGATGTCCGCGTGTATCTAGTTAGTTGTTTTCGTGCATTATTATGATTTTATTTAATGTTACATTTCTTTGCCATATTTATTGGATGTCGCAAAATTTTTCGTTTGGTGCAGTGTTTCGTTCGATTGTTGTATCACATATTCCCTCCATTTCAAAATGTAAGTATTTTTAGATTTGACACGTAAACTAAGGAGACAATCATTCAACAATTAATTTATGTGTTAAATATCTTTTTTACCCTTTATTCATTACGTTAGAACTATAAACAAGACTAAATAAAAATAATTTAGCATCATTTATTGAGGGTAAAGTTGGAAAAATAGTAATTAATTTGCCTAGAATTCGTAAAACAACCTACATTTCGTAAAATCTCTCCAAACCTAAAACGACCTACATTTTGAAATGGAGGGAGTACACGTTTTATCCCTTATTCCTGAAACCAATGAGATTATGTTTTTACTAGTGTTTGAGGATGTGAATTTTTATTTTCATTTATCTTCTCCATCTGAAATTAAAAAAAAATGGTACTTCATTATTTAAAACAAAATACTAGTACACATGTAGCAACCAATAAAAATATCTTTAATTGTATTTTCATCTTTACAAGAATAAAATGATTGCTTCATATTTTCTATATCATTTCACGGGAGAGTCGCACTATCTTAATCTAGAAGCGCATTCATATTCACATTTCTAGGCAATGAAAAAGGAATAGGTCATCACAAAAAGCTGAGATTAGTCCTTTTGTTTTCTCCATGACAAAAGAATATATTCTTTCGATCCTAGTTTTATAATTCACTGTATTAATATTTTAGTTTTAATAAAGTAATTATTTCGTCTTGTACTCGCTCCGATCCTTATTATAGAATATTTTGAATTGTTATAAGTTTCACCTATAATGTCTTTTTAATCGAAATAAAACTTTAAAAATATTTTGTAATAATTAAAAAAATTACAACGAATGTGAAAATATATTTTTATCTTTTTGAACTTAAAAAAACATTCTAGATGAAACATAAGACAAATCAAAATACTTTATAATAAGGACCGAAAGAAGTATCTAGGTATATCTGCCGTTTTCTTAATTTACAAAATAAAAAAATAGAACCATATTTGGTTTACACTTAAGATTGGTTTCGTATATTTTGCCATGGTTGACTCACAAATCTTTCGTAATATTGTGGTCATGCGAAAAGTGGTCATTGCAAAATATGATTAGTCCCGAATTATCATTATTACTATTTGCAGTGATAAAAATTACTCATGTACAGTCGTTCGGATATTTTTGCCCTGAGTACTACAAAAAGTACTAAAACACATAGTTTCAAATCAATTCTTTCTCTTTTTCTTCTTCACCTCTCAAAGAAAAAAAAACCTAAAAATTATAATGTCAAACTCAGATCTACAATAATTTGGAGGTTAAAGAAATGACGGAACAAGAGAATCAAGCACCGGAAGGCTCGATCTCTAATTTGGTATTTTTTTTTGGCCAAAATTCATTGAAAAAAATGAAAAAAAAATCGTACTGGACAGGGGTAGCCGCTTTTGACCCGGCTAGATCTTACGGGGTAGCCGGTTTGCCGCTGGCTACCCCTGAGCAATTTTTTTTTTCATTTTTTTTCAATTATTTTATGTTATGTTCATTTTAGTTATTATTAATATTTTTTTTCAATAATTAGTTTGTTTGAATGAATAGTATCAATCTTTATTGTTTAGATTTTTTTATTTAATTTTAAAAAAAGTATTATTAATAATGATTGTTTATGTAAATTAAATTTTTTTGTAGTGATAGTTATATCTTTGTATTGTATTTATTAATACTAATTGGTAGTATGTAATAAATGTAATATAATTTAAATTATATTATTTATGTAAATAAAATTTAATATAGTGTTAATTGACTATCATGTAAGGTAATTAAATTTAAATTATAAATTGTTCACTAGATGTGTTTTATATAATTTAACATACTTAATTGTGTAGTTATTTTTTATGCATATATTTAAGTTTGTTAAATTTGATTATGTTTCATTATAGGATTATGGTGGTGATGGTATTGACTATAGTTCGTATTTCAAGACTCGCATTAGATTCGATACTGTTGATGATGCTGTAGAATGGGCGAAACAGACTGCGAAATCTCTTGGTTTTGAGGTTGTTATTGCGTTAAGGAGAAGTGAGACGTCAAAATTATTCAGATGTCAAAACAGTATTCCCCCAAGAGAGACGGAGAATAAGGTGCGAAGTACGAAGTCGCAGTGTTGTGGATGTCAGTTCCAGCTTATAGCCGAAATGCAGAATGATAGTACTTCATTTGGCATTCGTACTGTACCAGGTCCTAAGGGTACGCATAACCACCCGTTTGGTACATTTAGGAGGGACAGAGGCAGATGAGCGGGATGAGCAATAAAGCGAAGGAGATTCTTAGGGAAATGTTGAGGTTTGGAGGAAAACCGGCTGCAATGGTGAAGCAAATTAATGCTGAATGCCCAGATGACTACGTTGTCCCCAAACAGGTATAACACTACAAGAGTAGGTTGCGATTAGATAGTTTCGAGGATAGAACTTTGGTGGAGCAGTTTTTTTATGTAGCTAAGGAACATAGCTATGTAATTTTTATAGATCATGATTCGAGTGTGTTGAGTAATATTTTCTTGGCACATCCAGTATCTGTACAGATGCTCAGAGTCTACAGGTGGTACATTGGTATGGATACTACTTACGGAACAAACAGGTATAAGATGCCACTGTCCCAAATGATTGGGATGATTCCAACCAATAAGAATTTCTTGATTGCATATGAAATTAAGAAGGATGAAACGAGTACGAGTTATGATTGGGTGATGGAGCAGTTGCGAAATTTGATTGGGTGGGAGGCGCATCCTACGGCCATAGTGACAGACAGGGAGTTGGGACTGGTAGGTCCAATCAGTAAATGGTTTCCAGAGTCTGCACATCTTCTGTGCATGTGGCACATCGACAGATGTATTGTGGCACACGCGAATAGGTATTGTGGTAGCAAATTCGCAATTTGGTGGATGGACAATGTATTCAGAGAGGTACTTCTAGCTCCTACTTAGTACGAACATGCAATGGCTATATTAATGATGAAGGCGTACAGGCACTCAAATGCTGAAAGTTATAGAAAGTTGGTGAAGTATGTCGAGGAAACTTGCTTAGTGCACAAGGAGAAGTGAGCTCATGCGTGGACAAATGAGGTGACACGCTTGGGGACCACCAGTAATTGTAGGGTGGAGGCCGCTCATAGTGCCTTGAAGCAATTTCTTGAGACGTTGAACATACAGCTAGATACAATGTGGATCAAAATCCACAATGGGATCGAGCATGCTTTCACTGAGATCAGGTACATTATATTATTGTATTTTTTTATTTCACTTCGTATTACTAATAGTATTACCGATAGTATTAAATTAACAATGAAGATTTTTAATTGCAGGTTCAGTCTAGGGTTGTCGGTGCGACGTTCGAATCGATCCCACCTTAAGTTCCCCTATGATCGTATAGTTAGACGATCCCACCTTAAGTTCCCCTATGATCGTATAGTTAAACGTGTCTCACATTACTGCTTGGACATCCTTGATAGGGAGTTTGCTCGCATGCATGAATTGGGTGAAGATGTTTACCACAGTTGTGGTTGTGCATTGAAAAAGACTCATGGAATCCCTTGTACGTGTGAGCTTAAACGGATAGTTGAAGAGCGGTTGTCCCTTGAAGTAGCTGACCTCCACCCTTTTTGGAGTAGACTTGATTATAAAAGAAACATGCCTGATTCGGCCACTGATGATGATGATTCTGATATTGCTGATGATGAAACAGAGGAACAAAAGATTTTTTCAAGTCTTGCGGATGTGGCGTATAACAAGAAACCTGCTATTTTGAGGCGCATCAATGTGTTCCTACAACATGTAAATGACTCTGAGCATATATGTTACGACCAACCAAAGGTGAAGACGAGTGTTAAAGCTCATCCGAAACTTAAGAAGCGGATCCCTTGTTTTTTGAAGAAGCATAAGACAGGAAATGGGCAATCTCGCATGAGTACTTCATCATAGAAGGACACGCCTTCTGGATCCTCGCATAGAACCAATGGTAGAGGTAAGAATATTTTATATTGTTGTGCTTTAAGTTTAAAAATTAACAGTGCTGCCAATATAATATGAAAAAGTCAATTTTAATTTTTTTAATAGGTGACACAAGAGTTTCGAGGACGGATATTGTTTCCTATGGAAGTGCTAAGGCCATTCCATATTTTATGCTTCCCTACATTCAGAGATACCTTGATGTGGAGTCAAATGGATTGTGTGGCTGAATATATCCGCGGCACGCAGGAGGAATGGTTGTGGGTCGGAGCAGTGATTGTTAGTGATCTTCTTACATTGCCTGATTTGTGGTATAGTGCATACTACGGAAAGAGAATGGACGTTGTCCGACGAATAAGGTGGAAGAAAGGTGGGTGTGGTCAATCTCACTGGATGGAAAAAACAGACTTGTTCACCATTGCTACTATTTGGAATGCAGTAGTTTCTCAGTACGGTCTCGGATCTGACTTGAATGGGAATATGAACTGTTTTGTACTACAGTGTTGCTCCTTCAGGCTCGCGATAGCGCCACAGGACCTACTCGTGAGATTGTGCTTGTTCACCTTGGACATGCTGACCACTACATTTGTGCTGAGTTTCGTGGTGATTTCCTGGTGCCTCGTATACATCCACATTGGTATGACTGGGCTGATAACAGTGTTGTTGGATGGGATAACATGTATCAGGATAGGATAGCAGAGTGGAACCGCATATGTCCATTTAGTCAGTAGCTGACTTTGCCATAAAAAGAATTTGTTTCAATTTGCTAATCGCGTTATCTAAATATAGTTGTTTTAGAGCAAATGACTTGATGACATAGATCCAATAAAACACACATTACTTTGTTAAATAAAAATCCAATAAGTAACACATAATATCCTAATTAAACATACTCCACTTTGTCAAATAAACATCAATGACTCGAATGAAAATCCTTGGTGAATTGAGCAAACAATGCCTGATGTTTCCTTACAGTCTCTGGATCCCATCTGCCCAATTCACCTAGTGTGATTCTAGATAACATAGACAGTCGGTTGATCCACTACACATAAAAATAAGAAAATACAATTAATATTATATTAAACAAATCTTAACTAAATTTATTAATCTTATAATATACAAAAGATGACTTACGTGAGATATGTTTCCAACTCCCGCTCTCAAAGTCCCAACAGTAGCGCGATCCAAAACAAGCAGAGGATGCGAAACTCGAATGTACCAGTCCAGGTAACAATCTACGCATGCAGTCTCATCTATATCACTCGGCTGTAACTCGCCTAGATCGAGCTTGTAACTTAACGGGAATTGCGCCCAAGCGTCTAATGCAATAGTGCGTGATCATATAACCTTATACATCTTGGATTTACTACTACGAAATACCTCCGAGGGTCTAGGGATAGGTGGAGGAATGGTCTGGATGTACACAATCTGGCGCAATACTCGTGCAGGCAAGTATGACTCAATAATATCTCGGTACTGTATCCACCATTGTACAAAGTCCTCAGATCATCGTCAACAGGCTCGAGTCCATAAGGCAACCATGTCACCTACACAAAAAACATAATAAATGTTAACAACGATATTTTCCATAATAATTCATAATCAAGATTGCTAAATGTAACATACATCTGCTGCTGTCAAGCCGTCGATCTCCCGCCGAAGTTTCTTCAGACGCTCTGCGCTATTATCAGGACCTGGGACATCCCACCATCCAACTCGGGGCATTGCAGGATCCTCTAAGGCACGGCCCCACCTGGTCTGAAGCGTGGAAAGTATTCATATATCCACGCCTAAATGAGTGTGAAGCACCCGGAGAATGAGGCATTTTCCGCTCTGGTGGACACGCCAGAGCCCCACGAAAGCTCGTGACAAGTGTTAGGTCATCAATAATCTCTGAGAGAATTGCCACTCTAATCCGAGTCCCGCTCCTATCTGTAAACAACGTATTCTCTAACATGAGCCATAACCAGGCAATCACTTGATCTCGAGCAGACCGACCAATACGGCAATACCTCAGGACTTCCTTCCCTTGAATCCTCCCACCCAGATATGATTTACTAGTGACTAGATCCTCAACAGGCACTAACAACATCCTCATGGCCAAATTATGACAATCACTAACCTCAGGTTGTGCTGTAATCAAACTACCATCAATGGGAATGCCCAATATCCGTCACACATCGTGCAACATGATGGTCATCTCTACAAAAGGCATGTGGAACGTGTTGGTGTGTGACTACCACCTCTCCACAAATGCTGTAATGAGTGCCTTATCAATATTGTTGTGCATGATGCATGCAATATGGGACAACCCTATATGCTCCAACACGTTCTTCCCCTCTGGCTCCATACCATTCTTCCAATCTTTCAAATTCTTGAAGTATGTGATTCTTGTATCCATTTCTAAGGGGTTTTTACAAGAGTCTTCTATCAAAAGAGTGGCCACATGCCCAAGAAAACTGGGAATAACAGAACCGTCCTGAGGGCTACCCCTAACTGTCCCGTCACAATCTAATTGCTGGCACTGCTCACTGAAATTATTTAAAATAAATCATACATTTTTTTCCAAAATATTAGAAAAAATATTATAATATAATTAAAAAAATATTATACCTGATGATGATGGTGATGCAGCCGCAGACTCACTGCCGCCATAACAAACAGTAAGGCGTCTAACTACAGTGGGAGATCTAACTGGGGGTGGAGATGGAGGTGTGTCATCTTCGAAATGATCATACCCATCCGAGTCGAAATTCTCAAATGGAACATTTTCTTCGTCAATGACATTCTCCCAGTCCAGACTAGACTGATCAAATACCTCGTCAAGTCTCCGTGGACCAGACCCAACCATCAATGTAGAATCAGGTACAACTGGTCTTTTCGGTCTTTTTCTTTAACCTACATTGATTAATATATAACTACACTATCACTATAATTCACATAAAAATTAATATAATACATAAATTAAACATATGATCAAATAATCAAACAATAATAACATCTTTAAATTATAACCTTTTTAAAATATTGCTAAAATAATTATAACACATAAATTAAAACATGCTCTAATGTTTTAAAATATAACAACTACTTATTTCAAATTACGGTATAAATTCAAATAATTATAATTTCTTTAAATTATAACCTATTTAAATTATTACTACAATAAATATAATAGATAAATTAAAAGATGCCATAATTATTAAAAATATAACAACTAATATAATTAAAACTATATTGTTTTTAAAATTCTAATTTATACTTCTTATTCAAATTTATTTAAATTATACTAACATGAACGCCATAAATAAAATATAATCAATAATATATAACAAAATATAATTAAAACTAATTACAGCAACATTAAATCAATAAATAAATTAAATACAACAAAAATAATAACAAACACAAAAAAAAATTACTCAAGGGAAGTCGTCTTCGGACCGGCTACCTTAGTTTGAGTATCCCCGCAGGATCGGCTACCCGGGCGAAAGGTAGCCGATCCGAGACCGGCTACCTTTTGAAGAGTAGCCGGATCTTCCAATCCCCCGGGTAGCCGATCCCGCGGGGGTTACTCAAATCGGGGTAGCCGGTCCGAAGCCGATTACCCATTCCAAAATTTTTTTTTATTTTTCAAATTTTTTGATACAAAAAAATTTACCGGTGCACAGGCGAGCTTTCCCGACGTTGTTTGCCTCGATCCGCTATTTTTTTAGTTCCCGAATTTTTGTAGATCTAAGTTTAAAGATTGGGTTTTTGGATTTGAATGTGAAGAAGAAGAAAGGAGAAGGAGGAGGAAGGAGAAGGAAGGAGGAAAAGGAGGAAGGAAGGGAAAGGAAATGAGGAAGAAAGGCAAAAATATCCAGTCCACTGTAAATGAGTAATTTTTCCGACTGCAAAAAGCAATTCAGATAATGCAATGCCTTCTGATTTTTGCTCGGTTCTCCATTTTATTTCCACGACAAAGAACCAATCCTATCAAGGGACAAAATATATACGCTCCACATCCTATAAAGAAAAAAAAGAAGAAAAAAAAAACTATGAACTCATATTTGTTGAACTAAATCCGAACAAGAAAATATATCTTTTTTGTGGGCAGTGATGGTTATCTTTTCTTTTTTTCCATCGTTTACCCTAAGTAGATCGGGTCAAGAAGTTTTTGCAAGAATTATAGTCGGTTCAATCGGTTGGACTGAGCTAAATGGTCTAAATGTGTTTGACCAGCAACTAGCTTGCTGTATACAGGTGTATGTGAGATCAAAATTGAACATTACCAATTAGCATTCAACATTTCTGGGTACAGTGTTAATTTTTGTGAACAAATTTTCTCTCTCTTCAACTCTGGGCGAAAACACACTAACTACGTATTTTTTCGACCTTGATTTCCAACGCAAGTCTGCCATGGCAAGGAAGCCAAAGAAAAGGGGGGAGTTAACAGGAGGTGATAGTCAACAAATCCAAGAGGTTGAATGCGCCTTATCGGATGACAATTCTACACATGGTGATCGGAGTTCAAGCAAAACAGCTCAGCTCAGCTCGAAGTCAGGTAGATCTTCTAATTCTACTATGATTTTTGAGGATCTGTGTAAACGGAAAGTGATTGAGGTAGGTGAATGTTCTAAATCTGTGAATCAAGTAAAATCTGGAAATTTGGAAGAGGAAATTAAAATTGGTGAACAAAATGTATGGAAAGGGTTCGATCCTCATACTTTAGCTCCAAACAAGAAGAAATTGAGGTTTATTGAGCCTAATATGATGAATAATCGAGAATTTGGAAAGATCACGAGGGAGGAAATCCAGTGTGAAGTTGATTATTGGAAAACGTCTGTGATATGCTATGTCTTGGGAGCTAAGCCACCTTTTCCTGTTATGAATGGCTTCATAAGGAGATACTGGAATAGAAGAGGAGTGGATAAGGTGTTGCTGCTGAACAATGGTACATTTGTGGTACATTTTAGATCAATGGATGATAAGGAATTGGTGCTGAAGTAGAGTATTCATCAATTTGATAACTGACCTTTCATTGTGAAGGATTGGGATGTCAAGGAAGATATAAGGATGGAGGAGTTAACTTCAGTTCCTGTGTGGATCTAATTACCTGGTTTGAAGCTTAAATACTGGAATGTCACCTCTCTAAGTAGGTTAATCAGCATGATTGGGAAGCTTATTGAGATGGATGATATGACAGAATAAGCTAAGAGCAGCCTATGCTAGAGTGTTAGTGGAAGTGGAGTTTAGGGATAAACTAAAAGAAGAAGTGTTGTATGAAGATGAAAATGGAGTCATGCAAGAACAAAAGATCATTTATGAGTGGAAGCCAATTAAATGTGGGAATCTTCATGGCTATGGCCATGATCCAAAACAATGCGAGAAGCCAGTAGAGAAGAAGTGGAGTCCTAAACCAGAAGGGAAGCAATCAACTATAGTACAGAATTCAAAAAAGGAAGCTATGGCTATAAAAACTCTAGTGAAATCACCTATTAAGGTTGTACAAAGGGACAGTTCACCAGCTAAAGTAGATGATACAAGTATTTAGATTATGAACCAGAAGGGCATTAAGGTGCCAGAAGGAAGGGGAGGTGATAAATGTAGATCCATCAATAGTATTTGTTACCAAGGAACTAGTACCCCTAATTCAGGGCCTAGAATCCACGAGTAACATACTATCATGGAATATAAAGGGACTTAATAGTCCCTTGAAACATAGAGAGGTTGATCATTGCCTTCCTATGAATAAAGTAGGTGTAATGGGACTGTTGGAGACAAAACTGTAAGGAGATAGAGTGAAGGAGTTAATGGATAAGATGCGGTCTCAATATGCTTATGCTAGTAATCATGAAAATCAGGAGAAAGGAAGAATTCTTTTAATATGGAGGAAAGATGAATATTCAGTAAGGGTGGAGAAGGTGGAGAAACAATTTATACATGGTTATTTCACTGAGTTAGGAAGCAAAAAGAAGTATTACATCACCATGGTGTATGTTGATTACCTAACTCAGGGAAGAATCAAACTGTGGGAACAGTTGCAGGATCTCTCAAAACATGTTAAAGAGGCATGGATAATGCTTGGGGACTTTAATTATATTCTTAACCAGGAGGAAAGGCTGGGAGGAAGAGAAAGTATGAATGCTGATTCTGATCAATTCAAGCAGATGGTGGAAGAATGTGAGATTTGGGAATTACCAACACATGGCAATTTCTTCACATGGAGCAATAAATAATGTGGTGACATGAGAATTGTTTCCAAGCTGGATAGAACATTCGTAAATGATAGCTGGCTGACTGATTTTCCAAATTCGTACACCACTGTGCTAGCTACTGGAATTTCAGATCATAACAGTCTGCTAGTGCAATGGGGTGATGAGTATGTGGGAGAAAAAAAGTCATTCAGATTTTTCAATATGTGGCTGCTTGATCCTAAATGTGAGTCTATTGTGGCAAAGCATTGGGAGCTGGTGGTGAAAGGAAGTTAACAGTATCAAGTAGTGAAAAAGCAGAAAATATTAAAGATACCTTTGAAGGAACTCAACAGAAGGAAATTCTCAGGCATTAAAGAGAAGGAAATGAAATGGAAGAAGAGATTGGAGGAAATCCAGGAAAGACCAAAAGCAGGTCCCTTGAATCAGCAATATCAACCAGAAGAAAAGGAAGCAACTGTTGAACTTGTACAGGAAGGGAAGGCAGTGTTATGCTTCTATAAGCAAAAACTGAAAGAAAAATGGTATCAGGAGGGAGATTTAAACACAAGATACTTTCATGCTAGTCTCAAGTAGAAAAAAGGAAGGAACAAGATCAGATCATTTATAGATGAACATGGGGAAATTATTGATGATGAGAAGAAGGTTAAAGAACACTTTGTGGAGTATTTTATAGGCCTAATTGGAACAAATGTAACCAGATTATCTATCCTAAGTGGAATTATAAGTTCAGGGATTAAAGTGTCTGTAGAACAGCAAATTCTCCTGACTGACAATTTTACTAAGGATGATGTAAAGGAAGCTATGTTCAACATAGATACATTAAAGAGTTCTGGTCATGATGAGTTCAACAGTGGTTTTTACAAGAAAATATGGAAGATAGTGGGAGAAGATGTGCTCTGTTGTGCTTGAATTCTTCAGGACTGGTAAGCTGCTTAAGCAGTTAAATGCCACTTTAATTGCGTTGATCCCTAAAGTAGATGTTCCAAGAGATGCCACTAAATACAGGCCTATTGCTTGTTGCAATACTGTATATAAGTGCATATGAAAAATGTTATGCAAGAGATTGAGTAAGGTACTGAATGATCTAATTGATATTAACCAAGGAGCATTTGTGAAGGGAAGAACAATAGTGCAGAATATTCTACTTACTCAGGGATTGGTCATATTATACAATAGGAAGCATGTCAAGCCAAGTTATCTGTTGAAAGTTGATTTGAAGAAGGCTTATGATTCAATTCGCTGGTGCTTCATTGAGGAGATGCTGTTTGAATATGGCTTTCCACCTAAGGTAATTAGTTGGATTATGGAGTGTATTACAATTGCTTCCTTTTCACTGAATATCAATGGCAGTAGTACTGGATTTTTTAAAGGAAGAAGAGGGCTTAGAAAAGAAGATCCCATGTCATCTCTCTTGTTTGTGATGGTAATGGAATACCTCACTAGAATGTTCAAGTTAGAAGTAGGAAAGCCAGGTTTTCAGTTTCATCCTTACTGTGAAAAACTAAAGTCACTTCCCTTAGCTTTGCTGATGACTTGATCATACTATGTGGAGCTGATATACAGACAGTAACCAGAGTAAAGGATATGCTGACTAGATTTGAAGCAACTACAGGATTGAGGGTTAACTTCAGTAAGTCCAATCTCTATGTGG